CAGCATGTTTCTATTCAGCTGATAACTCAGATTTTATATGGGCAGAGTCAGGTTTGGTGATAGCAGCTATTGGGCTGGATTAGAGCAATATTTTTTTTTTTTTTTAAGTGAAAAAGGTGCTCGATGTCTTTGCAGGAGTGAGCAGGAGGCAGGAGTATTGCTATTGCTGAATTTGCATTTGCAGCTGTCACCTTCCTGACCCCCTGGCCTGAGTTCAGCGTAGTGATGCTCCAGGTGGGGTCTGTGCCTCGGGATTTCAGCCTGACTATTCAAGGAAAATCCAAACTCTCGCCATAGATCTGTAACAGGATTTGTTTCAAAGTCACAACTCAGTGCTTATATAGGAGGATATTCTTCCCTGTGAGGATGAGGAGGCCCTGGCACAGATTGCACCATCCCTGGAAGTGTCCAAGGCCAGGTTGGACAAGGCTTGGAGCAACCTGATCTATTAGAAGGTGTTCCTGCCCATGGCAGGGGGTGGGACTGGATGAATCCTTAAAGTCTGAGTTAGTGGGGGAGAAAGGTAAAAAAGAGAATGTGAGAAAGAGAGGATTGAGAATAGCAGAGAATGTGAGGGAGAGGAGAAAAGGGCTGGGTAAGGGAAAAGAAAAAAAAAGGGCTGCTGGGAGTTGTTGTGGCCAAAGTGCAGGACCTGGCCACTGTTGTGGCCTGGTTGAACCTCATCCTCTTGGAATCAGCCCATGGATCCAGCCTGTCCAGGTCCCTCTGCAGAGCCCTCCTGCCTTCCAACTGATCAACACGCCCCCCCAGCTTGGTGTCATCTGCACATTTGCTAATGGTTCACTCAATCCCCTCATCTAAATCATCAATAAAGACATTAAACAGAGCTGGGCCCAACACTGATCCCTGGGGACACCACTGGTGACCAGATTCCAGCTGGATGCAGCTCCATCCCCATCACTCTCTGGGCCTGGCTCTCCAACCAGTTCCTAACCCAGCACAGAGTGCCCCTGTCCAAGCCTGGCTGCAGCTTTTCCAGGAGTGTGCTGTGGGAGACAGTCCAGACAGACACATCCACAGCCTTCCCCTCACCCACCAGGGGGGTCACCTGGTCATAAAAGGAGGTCAGGTTGGTCAGACAGGACCTACCCTTCCTAAACCCATGCTGGCTGGGTCTGATCCCTTGTCCATCCTGTAGGTGCTGTGTGATTGCACCCAGGATGATCTGCTCCATAACCTTGCCAGGCACTGAGGTCAGGCTGACAGGCCTGGAGTTTCCCGGGTCCTCCTTCCGGCCCTTTCTGTGGATGGGTGTGACATTCACAACTTCCAGTCATCTGGAACCTCCCCAGTGAGCCAGGACTGTTGGTAGATGATGGAGAGCAGCTTGGTGAGCTCTTCCACCAGCTCCCTCATCACCCTTGGGTGGATCCCATCTGCTCCCATAGACTTGTGAGGATCCAAGGGGCTCAGCAGGTCACAGACTGTTTCCTTCTGGATTACAGGGGGGCTGTTTGGCCTCCTGTCTCTGTCTACCAGCTCCAGAGGCCCCTTGTCGTGAGGACAGCCTGTCTTACTGCTGAAAACTGAGGCAAAGAAGGTGTTAAATACCTCATCGTTTTCCTCATCTCTGATAACTATGTTCCTCCCCATGTCCAATAAAGAATAGAGGTTTTCCTTGCCCCTCCTTTTGCTACTGATGTATCTGTAGAAGCACTTTTTGTTATCCTTAACAGAAGTGGCAAGATTGAGTTCAAATTGTGCTTTTGTGTCTCTAATTTTCTTTCTACATGACCTAACTATATTCCTAAACTCTTCATAAGTAGCCAGCCCTTTTTTCCATAGTTGGTAAGCTCTCTTTTTTCCCGTAATTTCCTTCAAAATCTCCCTGTTCAGCCAGGCTGGCCGTCTTCCCTGCTGGCTCACCTTTCAGCACACTGGGACAGCTCCTGTGCCTTCAAGACTTCCTTCTGGAAGCATGTCCATCCCTCCTGGACCCCTTTGTTTTCCAGGGCTGTTTCCCAAGGTACCCTCTGAACCAGCCTTCTGAATAGACCGAAATCTGCCCTGCAGAAGTCCAGGGTAGAGGTTTTATTGATGGTTCTCCTTGCATCCCTGAGTGTTGAAAACTCTCTTATTTCATGGTCACTGTGCCCCAGACAGCCTCTGACCACCACATATCCCACCAGCCCCTCTCTGTGAACAGCAGGTCCTGGCAGGCTCATTTACCAGCTGGAGCAGGAAATTATCCTCTGTACACTCTAGGAATCTCCTAGACTGCCTCTTCTCTGCTGTGTGGAGTTCCCAGCAGACACCCAGCAGGGTAAAGTCACCCATAAGAACAAGGGCTGGCGATTTTGAGACATCCACCAGCTGCTTGTAGAATAATTCATCACCCTCATCATCCTGGTTGGGTGGTCTGTAACAGACTCCCACCAGGATGTCAGCCTTGTTGGCCTTCCCCCTGATTCTGATTCACAGGCACTCAACCTTATTGTTACTGACTTCACCTTCTACAGAGTCAAGAGACGTTATATCTGAGAGTCTGAGACCAAAAAAAGGTTAAAAAAAAAAAGGGTTTTCAGAAAGGTAAGTAAAATTAACCTCCATGGAAGTAAAATTTAAGCTCCATGTTGTTCCAGCTGTGCCCTTGTCCCAGTCCTGTCCCCAGAGGGGTGTTAGCTGGGTTTGCCACTTGCAGCAAAGAGCTCTGGCTGCATTGTCGTAGAATCAGGGAATTATTTGGGTTGGAATGGACCTTAAAAATCATCTTGTTCCACCCCCTGCCATGGGCAGGGACACCTTCCACTACCCCAGGTTGCTCCAAGCCCCGTCCAACCTGGCCTTGGACACTTCCAGGGATGGGGCAACCACAGCTTCTCTGGGCAACCTGTGCCAGGACCTCACCACCCACACAGGGAAGAATCTCTTCCCACTGTTCCATCTAACTCTGCCCTCTGGCAGAGGGAAGCCATTAGTCCCAGCTCAGCTGGCAGTTCATGCTCAGCAGGTCCCAGCGAGGAGAAAAAAGCTCTGGCCAGTGGAGCTGGCTAACAGGAGCACAAATGACAAAGCCTGGAAGGGAGAAATTGCTCCTAAAAAAAGAAAAAAGAAAAAAAAACACAAAAAACCAAGAATGAGGGTGCTTTAGTAGCAGTAAGAGCCATCACAGGTGTAATAAACTCATTCTTTCATATACAGAGCACGAACCTGAATCCTCATGGCTCTTCCCAGGGAGTTTGCCTGTGCAAGGGCTGAACAAAACCTCATTTTCTTAAATGCCAGGTAAACAGAAGCAGCACTGAGGTCACACAGCAGTGAGTGATTCCCTCACTTGCCAAAGAATAAAGTGCAACACAAATAGAAATTGTAGCTGAGACTGCTGGAGCCTTGTAATCTTACCAGGCTATCAAATACTTCCCTTGCCATTATTATTTTGTCATTAACGTAATATTGAATATGAAAAACATGATGGAAAAATGTCTAATATTTATATGTTGTCTGATAATTAAATATTGCAAAGATGTGTCAGCTCATTACTAATCCTAATTAAAGTAGTTATTTCCATTTTCATCTCAGACATGTGTGTAATTAAATGTACCTGGGAAATTTTCTCTAACTAATCAGCAGCAAATGTTGCTGTGCTGGGTCCTCCCCTGGGATCCTGTTGAGTTTGGGCTGGCACTGGTAATTCCATGAGCTCCTGCAGCACTGGGGTGTGGGATCAGCTGGTGTGGAGGGACTTGTCTTTGTCAGGGGAGGGTTAGGTTGGATCTCAGGAAAAGGTTCTTCCCTCAGAGGGTGGTTGGGCACTGAACAGGCTCCCCAGGGCAGTGGGCACAGCCCCAGGGCTCACAGAGCTCAGAGAGGGCTTGGACAACACTCAGGGACAGGGTGGGATTGTTGGGGTGTCCTGGGCAGTCAGGAGTTGGACTCAAAGGTCCTTGTGAGTTCCTTCCAACTGAGGATATTCCATAATTTCATGATCTACACATGAGTGAGGACAGTTCAAGACGTGAGGGGAGATGAGGGTCCAGGGCATCAGTGGAATGATTGAAGGGGGAAGTAAATCACAAGTGGCAGTAGCTGGTCTTGGTGAGCCAGGAGCTTGCACAGGCAGGCTGGCATGAGCAAGGAGAGAGGGAAGAAGCTCATGGATAGAAGAAGATTTCAATGGAGCAGAGCCTGCTTCAAACTTTCCCCACATTTCTGCACCAACTTTCCATCCACTGTTTTATTGCAGACCAGGCTCTGAGGGGAATCAGTTTGGTTGGCTATGCATGTGGACCTTCAGGTGGGACTGACCTGGAGAACAGTCTTGCCCTTGTCCTTGCAGGCACTTCTAAATGTCTGAAAACTTCTGTCATCTTTTGATGAATTGTCATCTGAAGGACAATTTCATACAATTCCTTTAGATTGGTTCCAGTTTGGTGACTGGGACTAAGGAACTAAATAGGATAGGGAGAAGGAAACAAAGGCAGAAGATGGAAATATTTGAAGAAGTTCCTGCATCTTGGGAAGCTTTCCTGTCTCTCCAGGCATCTTGATTTTGGCTGTAGCTGCATTCATATATCTGGGGATGTCTCACTGTGCTTTTCTAACCTATGATTAAATGAAAGGCAGAGACTGAGGGGACAGGTTTTGGTATTGTTTGTGCCAGGGTAAAGACCAGGAGATGTGTTAATAACTTCCCAAAAACTTTTAAAAGAGTTTTATCTTTAAATCAGTTGCTGAAATAGCACCTTCTGACTGTACATTCATACAGCACATTTATGGTACAATCTGGGATTGTCCCAAGGCAGTTGTTTATAGTGTGTGCTGCTTTGGCACTTACATGCAGAAAGATTTCTCCTTAGGATGTGGATATTGGCTATTTTCCTGTACTCTTCAGTAGAGCCAGTGCTCTCTGCAGCTGCATTTTTAATTAATGTTGTGCTTGAACAAAGGTAGTGACTGCTGGTATCTCCTGTGTCCAACTGCTGCTCTGAGTCATGGGTTGGTTTGAGTGATATTAACCAGCTGGTTTTGTTTTTAACCAGGTAATGATGATTCTGACATCGACATTCCAGAGGATGAAGGATCTGACAGTGAACTGGAAGGGCAGATCATGAAGCAGCACACCAGCACAGAAGCTCTGCTGCAAGGTATCCTAACCCACCCTTCCTTGCCTTTGTTCAGAAGGATATGCTGGAATTACCTGAGTCACTTCAGATGTGAGAAGACCCTGTTGGAGTTCAGGACGTTGGCACCTCTCAGTTCTCAGGAGCTGTAGGAGGATAAAGCCTTGTGGAGAAAACAGTGGTTTGGGGGGAGCAAATTAAGGATTATTTATTTACTGGGGGGAAAAAATCACTGTGTGAGAAAAAAACTGCCTTGGTATTGTCTTAGAGATTATTGAAGTAGCTTCATACAAAGCCTCAGGAAAGCAATGTCATTTCTCATTGCAAAGCATTTATTTCCCTTTAGCTGTTGGCACTTGTTCTGGCAGAGTCTTTTTCAAAAGGAGACCTTCAGCGAGCCCATAAAGCCACCTGCACTGATATGGGCACTGGGTAACACACCTGAGCTGCTGCTTTCAGGGAGGGATGTCTGGCTTCTATCCTAGCTCATGTGGAGTGGAATTGCAGCCCCTGGTGCTGATCCCACTGGAGCCCTGCTCAGAAGAGTTACAGGTCCTGGTCTTAGAGGAATTAATTACTGGGGGGGTGTGTGTGTGTTTTACTGATGTGGGAAAAGAATTGCTCTGCTTAGTCTGGAGTCAAGCAAAATACACTCAGGAAATCAGGTTAGTGCTCTGTGTTAGCAGTGAGGGATCCTGAACTGCCAGCAAAAGCCTCTCTGGGGTCTGTAGGAGGTACCTGTGTAGGGAATTTCATGTACCACCACTTCTGCTGGAACCTGTTCCTTAGATAAACTGCAAATATGTGGAGTTTTTCTGAGTGGAATTCTCTCCCCTCTCTGAGACCAGAGGAAGAAGCTGACATTCTCAAGTCAATGTAATTCAAGCACTTTTATCCTCCTTTCCACTGTTTTTCATAAAAATAGAGAAATCTTGATAAGTGCTAGAAACACTGATATTCCCTAAGGATTTTTACATTGCCATTTCTCAGGGAAAGGTTTGTACACGGATTTTAGAGCTTTGGAAGTGACTGTGTCACTGTCTGTAACTTCTGTAACTTCAGTTCAGAGGGCACCATAACCTGGTGATGTCAGCCATCTCTTAATACCAGTTTTAAGAGTAAAAAGCTTTATTACAAAAGTTGTAGATTTTGTGACAAGTAGAATTTTTTCTAGGAAGGGCTTTGTTATCATTAATTACACTTAATGGAGACTCAAAATGAGGTTGTCAGACTTAAGCAGTTCAAATCTATGAGATGTTTTCTCTGCTGTGCTGTTTAGATTGATTTCTGTGCTCCTCTGGGTCTCCTTCTGGTGTTTAGTAAACTATTACTGGCAGATAATTATCCTCTTGACTTGCTGTTGCTCTCTACAAGTCCCTGACAGGAGAGTGGAGCCAGGTGGGGGTCAGGCTCTTCTCCCAGGGAACAAGGGACAGGACCAGAAGAAACAGGCTGGATCAGACAGAGGGTCCATCTTCTCTCCCCACCACTGTCTGAAAGAAAATGTCTGGGGAAGAGTGTAGGAACTTCCCTCGGGTTCCCTCCTGCTCTCAATCTGTTTCAACCTCCACGAGTATTTCCTGAGCCAGATGTGGCTTCCACAAATTTAATCTAACCCTCAGCAGATTTATTTTCTCCTAAGAACCTGTCCAGTCTCCCCTTGAACTAACTGGATTTTTGTCATCCATGCTATCAGAAGTGGCAGATTTTGAGGTGATGTTGTGATTATGTGTGCAGATCCATCTTTCCAGCCTCTTGGACCAGTCTGAAATGCATTTTGGCATCGTGAGGATCTCTCCCCTTCCCAGTGGCAGCGGTGCCAGACTGGGACACACAAGCTGGCACACAGGGCAATGCTACAGAATGAAGCTGGAATAGTCTGCCCTTGCAGATCTGTGGAACTGTGCCTGTCTGTAGTAAATCACCCTCTATTGCACACTGCCAGGGTCTTTCAGCTCCTGTAAACCAATTATCTGAATGCTTCAGCTCTTGTTTACTTTTATAATGTTGGTGTTAAGGGGAATTTTTGTCCTGTCCAGACCACAGAGACCATTTCACCACTGAGACAGGAATAACTTCAGCCTTTTTTATGTCTTTACTGTAGGAAGACAGCTTTACTAAACTCTGTTTTTCAGCAGTCAGTCCAAAGCCACACAGTGAGAGAGCAGCTCTCTTGCAGCCTCTTGCTTTGGCAGACCTGACCCAGGGAATCAGTGTGATGATGATGTGCTGACGAGCTGGGCAGTGAGGGCACTGAATGCCTGTGGTACCCTGGATGCTGGGGGAAGGCTGCAGAGGCTGAATTACCCCTCTTTTTGTTTTTAATCCTTTAGGGAAAATGGAGGCTTTGACACAGAAGTCTTCTCAGGTGAACCTACACAGCCCTGTTTCCAGGCCCCTCCTGCTGAAAAGCAGGAAAGTCCTGTTCTCAGTGGAAATTGTCAGACTCCACTTGTGCAAATTCTTTCTCCAGAGCTTGTGGCCATGTTCAGATTTCTGCCACAGAATTTCTAGACTGTTTTCCTTCCCTTTTAACTCCCCTGGGTGTGTAGAAATCAGAGGTGTGAGATTGATACACAGGAGAGTGGAGGGATTCAATTGGGAATGTGTAACAGCTGCCTGCTTCTTGATGGATATCTTGTTCACATTGAGTTCCTGGGGCTGTCACCTGCCTAATTTTTAAAGCCACATGTTAAATAATAGTCTATTTTCTCCTTCCTTCTGGTTCCTAAAGGAAGTTACATCTCTGAGCCCAAGACCAAGAGATGTATGCAAGTACATTTATCTTTACAAATACAAGGTGGTAACAAATCTGCAGGTTTTCTCAAAATGTTGCATTCCTCTCTGTTGTGGAAATGAGTGTTTATTAAAAAAAAAAAAAAAAAATCTGAAGCCCACTGCAGCTGTATGGGCATCACTCAGATGCTGTGTGATCCCATCCCTGATCTCTCAGATTCATCCACAGGGACAGCTGCCTCTTACCAGCACACAGCTGAGTGCAGGATGTCGTCTCCATTCCCAAGCCATTCCCCCCAACAGTCTGTTCAGAAACCCTTAAGAAGCAGCCATCAGGTTCTGCCCACTGCTGCAGAGTGCCTGGAGCTCGTGTTTTTGAAAAAGAACAGAAGAAAATGTCTTGTTCAGAGTCGTGCCACGCTGAAGTGCCCCCAGGGAGGATTTGCCAAGGGTGCTGCAAATGTAAACGTCTGCCACAGACTCAAGTGTCCTCCTGGTGTCCCAGCAGGGCCAGGATGGCAAGGCCTGAGTCTTAAAAACATCAGGAATCTGCACGGGGGCTTCCAGGTGCTTTTTCAGAGGCCAAATTAGATTTGGGTATCCTCACAGAAGGGAGAGCTTTAGACCCCGCATGGCATCAGGTGGGCAGAGGTGAGTCAGGAACAGCAGCTGTGACACAGGCTCTGCTGGGCACTGAATTCTTACCTTTCCAGTCCATCAGGGATTTGGGAATGTTGTTTTGTAACCCCAGAGCTTCTCTGAAAATCCCTGTCTGATTTCTTGGCAGTTATCAAAAAGTACAGAGCAACAAAAAAAATCTCCTCTGCCCTGGCCAGCTGCTCTCTTCCTGATGGCTCCTGAGGAGCCCTGGTGTTTGCAGGCATCTCCTGGCACGTGTTTGCCTTAATCCAGAGTCTGTGGAACTGAGGTGAAAGGGTCTGGCTTTCACACATTCCATGGTGGTGGCAGAGGGAGAAGGCTGAGGCACAAGGAGTGGGTCTGGCCGTGCATTGGCAGGGTCCAGGTTCTCCAGCTGTTTGAAGGTGATATATGAAACCAAGGGGAAAAATTGCAAAAGTGCACCTGCTCAGAACACCTCAGAGGACTCCACCAAACTGATCCTGCTTTTAGAACTTAAAAATAAATTCCTTCCCTTGTGAACTTCCTCAAGGGCAATTTTACTCTGACTGGGGCTTTATGCACATAGCATATGTGTGTTCTTGTGACTGTGCTCCTGGAGGGAATATACTTTTCTGGTAAACCAAACCAAGTCTTAATTGTAAACCTTATAAAAACATTTTGGGGAGTCAGATTAGTCTCTTATTCCTTGCCTCTTCAGGTCAAATGGGAGAGAAAAACAAGTGTTTGAGCCACAGATCTGATTGTCAGAAGGCTGGTGCAGCTGCACTTATTTTCCTGTATTTCTGTGTGGATCTCTGCAGATTCCTGTCCCCCAGATAAGAGTCTTTGCAGACTTTAGTTCCCTGATATGGCAGCTGTTGGGCAATATTACTAGGCTCATGTAGCTGGGGAAAGGGGGCAATCAGGTATATTTGGGAACACTGAAAAGGGGCCGTGTTTGGAATTCAGAGAAATTAATTTGTCTTAAATTGAACTTTTTTCCTCCTTGGCATCTGCTCCCTGCAGAGCTGTCATTGGCTGTAGGTTTTGTGTCAGGAGGTGCTTCCTGGAGGAAGGAGGTGTTGCTGTGCACTGTCAGCCAGGCCATCATGACACTGGACCTGGTGGAGAAGGAGGAGGGACGGGTTGTAGCTCTTAAATGTTGGGAGACAGGTCCCTCAATTCCAAGTGGATTTCCTTTCCGTGGAGGTGTAAGAAATAAATTAAAGTGTGTTCCCCTGGGCAGCACCACAGCTCCCCTGTGGAGAGCTTAAAGAACCCCTGCATTTTGGCAGTGCCTGGAAGATGTTGCTGAGATCAGAGCTTTGTGCTAAGGGAGGGGATTGTCCTGCTGTGCTCTGCCCTGAAGTGCCCTCACCTCAGCACCTGGGGCTGTTCTGGACACCATCATATCAGAAGGATCTAGAGCTGTTGGAGAGTGTCCAAGGGAGGGACACAAGGATGGGGAAGGGTCTGTAGGGGAAGGATCTGAGAAGCAGCTCAGGGCTCTTGGTCTGTTCAGTCTGGAGGAGACTGAGGTCAGACCTCAACGGGGTCTGCAGCTTCCTCTTGAGGGGCAGTGGAGGGGCAGCTCCGAGCTGTGAGCAGTGACAGGACCCAGGGAATGGCTGGAGTTGTGTCAGGGCAGGGTCAGGTTGGGTGTCAGGAAAAGGTTCTTCCCCCAGAGGGTGGTTGGGCACTGCCCAGGCTCCCCAGGGCAGTGGGCACAGCCCCAAGGCTGCCAGAGCTCAAGGAGTGTTTGGACAACGCTCTGAGGGACAGGATGGGATTGTTGGGGTGTCCTGGGCAGGGAGTTGGACTCAATGGTCTTTGTGGGTCCCTTTCAGCTCAGGGCATTCCATGATTCTGTGATTAAGAACACAGTCCCCAAAGCACACACAGACTAGAAAGTTCAGGCCGGAGGTTTATCCCAGTTTTCTCTGTGTGGAAGGGAATGTGTTGTGGAGGGAAGGGAGGTGTCTTCTCTGAGCTCCTGCTGTGAATTTGCATTAGGTGCTGGACGCTGCAGATCTGCAGACTGAGCAAAATGTTTCAGCTGCAAATCCAGCCTCCCCTCCCCGTGGGCTGGCTGGACCCCACAGACTGTGTGTCTGTTCTTGCTGTCAGACACAGGGTTAATGTGTACCCACTGTTCAGTGAGAAGCTGGAAATCATTCCAGTCCTGTGGCTCCATTGTAGGAAGCTGCTCGGGCTGGTACAATGGCATATATCACACAGAGGGAAAAGGGCAAATGCTCACAGGCTTCAAATCATGGATGCTTGGTGGCTGTAAACTGTGGTGCTGCCTGGAGATTAGACTCCGAAGCTGCAGTGAATTAGTCTGGTCGTTACGAGCCGTACAGCCTGTCCCGGCTGGAGTCACATTCTGTGTAAGGAAACTCAGCAGGCTCCCACCCGCCGGGGAGCTGCAGGAGCTCCCGTGGCCGGAGCGATGCGGCTCTAAGGGCACACTGAGCCGAGCCCAGCTAAGCTGAACCCAGGAAATCAAGTGACAGCTTCCCCAGCCCTCCCTGCCCCCTGCACGTGACTCCTCTCTTTCCTGCCTCTCCTCCAGCACACGTGGAAATTCCGTGACCATCTGCTTGTCCATGTTCCCACGCACAGGAACTTGGGGGTTTGTGATGTGAAAGTTAAAATAGTGTGGAAAATCTGCTTGCTGTGCTCTTTACAGCTGGGTGCACAGGGGAAGCCCCAGCCCCTCTACATCCTGCAGTCTCTCCTAGGAGTGTCCCAGGGTTGTACTCCAGCCCTTCTGCATCCTGGGGTCTCTTCTGGGAGCGTCCCAGGGTTGTGCCTGCAGGATCTAATCCTGCTGATCCCACAGTCCCTAGTTCAGAGAGGTGCTCCTGGCTTAAACAATGTAGGGATCCAAGTCTGGGCAGCATCTGATTATCCTGTTCCTCCAGATATAAGGAGTTAGATGCACACAGGATGTCCTGGAAGAGCAGCATCCTCCGGACCTTCTGTGAGGAATCTCTGAGTTCTTCCCATGGCATTTTGAATTGTCCTATTCCATCAGCTCTCCTTATGTGATATCTTGATTTTCTTTTATATGCGGGATCTCTCTCAGCTTTGTCTTATTTTAGGAGCTCCCTGCAGCTTTCTCCTTTTGAGGTAATAATTCCCAATTTTACACTTCATGCTGAGCCTTCTACAGAGCAAAATTGCAGTTTTGCAACTCTCAGAGCCATCTGTAGGCTGGGTAAAAAGAAGGTTCTGTTGTTGTCTAATGATGTGAGTTGTAATCAGCTTCAAATTTATATGGTTTAGTCTTGCATAAATTAGGGCAAAAGTCTCCAAAGCTTGAAGGCAGATCTTCTGTCTGGAAATCTTACAGTTCTATCTCCACTGCCCAGTCAGTAGAGGACACTGCTTTTTATCTAAAAACATAAAATCCTTTAAATTATCTGCCTTGATGCAACAAAGGTTTTTTTGGTGAGTTGTGGATGAGTTAGCCAGCTTTTTCCTGCCACTAATTCAGATCAATCTGCGTGGGACAGAAGGGACCTGTCATCTTTTGTGCCTTGGGAGGTACAAAAGAGGTTTGCCAGGATATATTTTAAAGCTGCTTTGTTTTCATGCTAAAACCAGTAAGGATTAGATTGTCTAGATTGGAACATAGGGGAAGCTGGTGATGGCAGATGGTGAGATGGGATGGTCACAGCACGGCTGTAAATAGGATCTGGTCAGTGTTCAGGGCATCCTGGGGGCTGCAGGAGCAGGGCTGAATCACCCAGGCATCCCACACGTAGCATTTCCCCTTTCACAACACCTTACAGGCTCCCTTCTAGCAAAGGAGACCTTGGTAGCATCTTCCCCATTTCCTAAATCCTCTGCATTGCCAAAACCAGCAAAGCACAAGTGTGGTCTCCCTTTTCAGTGAGCTCCCTGCAACCCTGAGATCTCCACCTCTCCCTTCAGACTTAAACATCAAACTCTCAACAGGAAATTCCTGAGGTTTGCTTTGGCACTGCCAGGAATTCCTGTGAGATGTCAGTCCCTCCTGGAATATCAGAAAGGATCTGAGCTTTCTAAAGGACAGGAGGCTTATCACATGCAAAAAACCAGGCTTTTGTTCTCTGTCTACCAAAGCAGAGGAAGGAATATGTCAATTCACAGATTTTTTTGGGTTGGAAGGGGCCTCTCAAGATCATGGAGTCCAACCCCTCTGCTCAAACAGGAGATTTGAGCTGGTTTTCCAGGACCACATCCAGTTGGGTTTTGAATATCTCCATGAATAACTCCACAACTTCTCTAGGCAACTTTGTCTCAGTGTTTGACCACCCCCACAGTAAAACAAAAGTGATTTCTTTTGTTCACATAGAACTTCCTGTTTCTTAATGTGTCTCTCACCTCTTGTCCTGTCAGAACTGTTACAAGGTAGCTCTGGAATTATCATCCTGACTGGAATTATTGTCAGACATATCCTCTTCTACTATCTCCTGAGCTCTGAAGGCTTAACAAGGGGGGGACCTTACATGCACTGGGATCTCATCCTCTCACTGCTGTTTGACTTGTCCTTAAAATGTAAACTCTGAGCTTTGTCCTTCCTTCTGCCTCCCTGTAACCATGAGCCAGGCTTCATGGTGATTCTCTTTGCTCTTGCAGGAAGAGCTGGCACACGGGTCGTGGGAACAATGCAAGGTGGAGAAACGGAGGAAGATGTAAGTAACCATCCCATGTGTCTGTAGAGCTTCCCTGACAGTGCTTTAGAGTGCCAGCCCTCTCCTCAGCTAGAGAAACACCTTTTATCTGCTGAATCCTCATGCCCCAGGCCTGCTTTTCCCCTCCTTTCCTTTAACTCATTGGCATAGACACAGATTTCCCTATTTTTCCTTTGCTCTTGGGGTCTGTGTGCTCTGTGTGCTTTCGCCTCGTCCTGCAGTGCACAGCTCGTGGCACACAGGCTGCAGGAATGCTGTTTGGTGAGCTGTGGGGGCAGAGTGCTGGCAAGAGGGATCAGTGCAGGGCAGCAGGAGTTAGGTACATGGACATAAATCCCCTTTTGTTGCTCTAAAAACACATGCCTTGGACCCTCTCTGTGGCCTGTACTGGCAGCATCAGTCATCAGTCATCCAGATGATGGGGCAGGGATGAGAGCAGGACTGTGAGCTTTATCCCTTGGGATTCCTGCTGTCCCAGGGCTCCTGGCTTTGCATCTGGTTGTGGTTTACGTGGTGAGCGGGCAGAGTCTAAAAGGCACACCCAGGTTTGAACAGAAGGCACTTGTTCTATATCTGTGCCCAGCCCTTGGCATCCATGGACAGTTTTTCTGTGCCTCTGGGCACACCTGAGTGGCTACATCTGCACTAGGCAGCTGAAGCCAGCTGCTGTGATGTGGTTTGCATCCATACAGGAAGCTCTTTCCATCTTCCCAAAAAACTGCTGGCATCCTGGGACTGTCCTGTTCTCCTCACAGTGATGGAATATTGCTTTGAAGAGTGCTAGTTGGCACAGGCCAAAACTGTGCTAGAAGATAGTACAGCTATGATGATTGTGGGCTTGTGTTTGAACCTGTGCTGCTGTTAATTCCTGGTGTGGATGGAGCCTTCCTGTCTCCCTGTCCAGCAGATACTCCCACAGTGCTGCCTGGCTCGAGGAGGGCAGTTCAGACATCTCTTTGAATCCCAGACTGGTTTGGGTTGGAAGGGACCTTAAAGCTCATCTCATTCCACCCCCTGTCATGGGCAGGGACACCTTCCACTAGCCCAGGTTGCTCCAAGCCCCGTCCAACCTGGCCTTGGACACTTCCAGGGATGGGGCAGCCACAGCTTCCTTGGGCACCCTCACCTTGTCTCTGGAGAGTAACTTGCAGCCCCTGCAAGACTGGGTGTGGTCAAGGCTGTTGTTACCTCCTGGGGAATGATTTGTGCCCTTGGCATTCAGACCTGTTTCTGGGCAGGTCAGAAATGCCTGTGCTGTATGTGAAGATGTCACCTTATTGTCCTTGACCATGTTTGTGACAGATTTGGATAGTCATCCTGTGTTGCTTCTCTTCCCTTTAGACTTTCCTGTTCACAGCTTTCTCCCTGTTGGCACAGCTCCATTGTATCCAGGTGTGGAAAGCCAAGGCCTTCAGCCTCCGATTGCCCTCAGCTGGAGCCCCTCAGCTGTGATTGTCTTATGGCTCTGCCCTTGGAATCATCCTCTCAGGAGGCCCAGGGGCTGAGAGGCTCACTCAGGAACCCTCACAGGCTTCTGTGTGTCCAAGATGAGGGAAGGAAACTATTGAGGCTGGTTTGAACCCCTCAAGGAGTTCATGGAGTTACACAGTTGGGAAGAGAGCAGGCTTCAGCCTGCCCCAGAGCCTCTGTCCCTTGCTGGTGTGGTGCATGATGCCAGAGCTGTGCCTGCCTTTACTGCCTTCTCCCCTGCTCCCACCTTGGTTATTTTCTGTTTTCTTTTATGTTCTTGTACATTTTTTTTTCCCTGCTCTGCCTCTCTTGTTTCTTCCACTCTGGTTCTCCAAGGGGACACCTGCCCCAGCACGGCCAGGCTCACACAAGGTCACCACCAAGGCACAGGTGGGTTCCTCTCCTGCGGTTCATTTTCTTCCACTTCCCCTTGATTCTCACAAGGTATCACTTTAAAGTTAAACACCCTGCCAGGTTTTTAATACCCCAGATCCAGCAGAAGTCAAGGAGTTCATGTTTGTCAGCTCTGTGGGGTGGGGAGGGAGGTTTGCAGTCAGTGGGGAGTGCAGGGAGGGAGCCAGCACTGCCATCCCTGACTTTTGGGCTGGCAAAGAGGCCTTGCCATGGGACAGCTGAAGTGGTTATGGCCTCTTGTTTCCTGTCCTTCAGGAGGACTCGGGGGATAGTGAGATTGACCTGGATGAAGATGATGATGAGGAGGAGGATGATCTGGAAGATGACAGCATGGAAATCTCCCCAAGCAAATCCAGCCACCGAGCAAGGAAGCCAGAGCCACTGGAGCAAAGTGATAATGACTTCTGACTCTTCAGGAGCAGGAGGCATCTTGAAACACAAACTTTGGAGAGAATGCAGGCCAGGAGCAAATATCCTGCCATCTGAAAAGTGCATGTCAGCATGAATTTAGGAGTTGGTGAATAATGGTCATTAAACTTAAAAATTAAACTTGGATTGCCAGGCTTGTGACTCTCGAAGCATGAGCAGTTTATCCACAAGGGGAATCACAGTAATGTGATGTTATTTCCATAATTACACTAAAACTGGCTCTCGTGCACTGCAGTGCCAGAAGTCTCACTCCAGTGAGCACTGTGTACCTGATTTCCCTGCATTTTATTATGTCCAAACAGATTTTTTTTTGGCTTAATAAAACTGAATTAAAAGCTGCTCTGGGAATGCATTTCAATTGATTTTAAATCTGGCTTAAATCTGTTTGTCCTAAACATATCCTTTACCTAATCAAGGGCTTGTCTCTGCTAAGAGCAGCTCCAATTAGACTGAAGGAGTGAAGTTAAAACTGGGAAACAAGTGAAGGACTCCTCAAATACCACCAAGGGTATTTCAGCTATGTCAGTGGGGATTGTCTCAAACTTCACTGGGCTGAGTTTGAGTGTCCTGAGAGATGTGCTGTAACCAAATCCATATTAAATTAACCCTTTCATTATACTGAGGCTACCGGGGTAGGCTCAGGTTTAGGTATTCAAATGGGCCAAAAGCTGGGCTTTTGTTCAGTACGTTGTGCTGATGCCATCAGTGAAGGTGTGTTCAGGTTTGTCTGAGGGTTGCCTCTTTTAGCTCTGCTTTAGCATCAACAGTTTGTCTTCAGAGGAGCAGGAATCAGTACTTGATGAGAAGAGTTCACTGAGGTGTGTGTTCATCAGGGCAGTCAGAGCCTGGCTGTGCTCCTGCCCTTCACCTTTTTACACCAGCAGAGTACTTTGCTTTTGACCCCTTCTGAAGTCTGCATTCGGGTCCAGTCTCTCCATTAATGAAGGAAGGAGTGCACATAAGTCACTTGAAAAACTGAGAGGTTTTTCATCTCTGACCCTAAGGGTGGAACTGTCACACCTGAAGAAATGCCCCATCAGCAGAGCCCAGAGCTTGAAATGTCATGTCAAGCTGGGACAAGAGCTGACAGGTAAATACAGCCAGGTTTTGGGTGGTCATGGGGCATGTGTGGGGACAGTGATGTGCTGAGCTGACTGACTGACAGTTTGGATGCTTCCTTGCACCTCTTAATTGGCTTTTTGCACCTTATTTCAAAGAAGGCAGATACAGAAGATGGCAAACACCTACTTTAGAGCCATTAGGGTGGTCCTGTGACAGCCAGGGTGAAGGTGTATGTGCTTAACACATCCCTCTCTCTAGGGGTGGGAAGGTGCTGATTTTAGGAGCCATTCCCAGAATGTTTTCCCATGTTATGCAGGGAATCCACTCTGGTCCTCCATGTGTGCTGTTCAGCTTGGAAAAGAAAGGGTTCCAGGGAGACCTGAGAGCCCCTTCCACTGCCTGAAGAAGCTCCAGGAGAGCTGGAGATGGACTTGGGACAAGGAATGGAGGGACAGGACAAGAGGGAATGGCTTCCCACTGCCAGAGGGCAGGGTTAGATGGGATATTGGAAAGAAATTCTTGGCTGTGAGGGTGGGGAGGCCCTGGCACAGGTTGCCCAGAGAAGCTGTGGCTGCCCCATCCCTGGAAGTGTCCAAGGTCAGGTTGGACAGGGTTTGGAGCAGCCTGGGCTGGTGGAAGGTGTCCCTGCCCATGGCAGGGGGTGGAAGGAGATAAACTTTAACCTTCCAACCCAAACCATTCTGGGATTCTGTGATGTATCTGACCCATAAGAATGACATCCTACGAGACAGGTCTCCCAGTCTGGGCTGCAGTTCTACAGTTTTCTGTGTTTATTTCCTATATTATAGGCCTGAGTAAAAACGAGACTTCATACTCAGTGTGCACAGAGCCAGAGCCTCTCCTCAGGCAGCACTGCCACCTAGCCTTCCAGCATGGCCAGCCAGGGTTAGTGAGGCCACAGTTTGTGTTGCAGCTTCTTGTGCCAGGCCAGAACAGCAGCACCATCAGCAGCCACCCCTGTGCCAGTGAACTGAGCTTCCAGCTCAGGATCTGCAGCCAGGGCAGTGGAGCACAGCTCTGTGTCATGCAATGCAAGGGGAAGGCTGCACAAAGCATCTTCTCATCTGGGAACCAGTTTATTTCCAAGTATGTACATACCCACAGCTCAGCCCAGCGTTCCTGGTGTCAGCCCTGGGGTCCCTGCAGCAGTCACTGCCCCGAGTGTGGCAGTGTGTCTCAGAGTGGGCTCTGGCTGGGGTGGAGTGGGGAGAGGGGCAGTGGCTGGAGGGGGCTCTGGGAGGTTCATAGTTGGGCTACTGGTTCACCTGCAAACCTGGCACCTTCTGGAGAGCCACTGGGCCTGTGCCATGCACACAAAGGCATCACCTGGCACCTCTACTTTCAGCAGCCTGCCCAAAAGGTGACCTGCTAGGGCAGACCTTGCCTGCAGCTGGGACATGGGGAGGACAGCAGGAGACCCAAGAACTCCAGCCTGAGCTGGAGGGGCAGCCAGCTAAGGCAGTCCTGGTGTAGCACCCAGATGTGTACTGGAGACAGCTCATCCTGCAGTGCTGGTCCTCTCACGTTTACCCTCCTACTCCTCCCATTTTCCTGAGGACTTCCAAAGGTCTCTCTAGATGGTTCTGCTCCTATGCCTTGAGTTGCCTGTCTCTTCACTAGAGAACAGCTCTACCAAACCCTTCAGGCATGTCTGATCAGCACCAACCTGTTACTGAGGGCACAGCAACAGCCCAGGATCCTGCTCCGAGTGCCCAGGTCCACAGCACTGCCCTCGTCCAAGCAAGGAATCAGCAAACCTCCTGTGTCCATATGGCATTTCAAGGGGAGCCTGCAGGACCAGGCTGTATTTAACCAGGTGAGAAGGGGCTGCTGTGAACCCTGTCTGCTTTTCACACAGTTCTTCTGGGATCCTTGCCAGAAGCAGAAGACAGAGAAGAGCTGGCACTGGGAGCAGAGCCCTGGAGCCCCACTGGGGGTGTTGCAACATTTGCCCACAGTGACTCGGGCTGGGACAGAGCAGAGGTCCAGGATGCACCTTGTCTGAGTCAGGGTCCAAGCACAGCACTGTAACCCCGTGGAGATCACAGGAGGGGTTGCTGCTGCCAGAAGAAAAATCACCCACAAAACCAAGGTCTGGCATGTGGGGTCTGCTCCCTCCTCCCTCCTTTTTTGCGTTTTACTCATTCCTTGAGTCTCCCCCAGAGCCTGGGTGAACAGGGACACAGGCACACATCCCTCAGCTTTCAACGCCAGCGAGTCTCGACCCTCCTGCACTGCTGATCTGGACACCCTCGGTCCTCCTGGGCCACACCAGGGAGCTCAGGAGCTCTCCTTGCCCCAGCTCTCTTCCCTGAGATGGGCACCAAGCAGCTCCCTGTGGGGTCACACTGGCCACACTCCTCACTGCAGCCAGGCACCCTCACACATCCACGACGCAGTTGGGAGCGTTTGTCCGGATGGTGTCGGAGATCATCTTGGCTCCCGACTGGCCGATCCGATTCCCCTGCAGGCTGGGAGCAAAGGCAAGAGGAGCTCAGGCTTGGACACAAGGCAAAGCAGGATCCCTGGTGGGCATGAGAGATGCTCCCCAGCTTTGCCCCAGCATCACCTGCACCCTCTCCACCCCATCCAGAAGCTCTTCCTGGGACTCCGCTTCCAGGAGACTCTGAGTTTGAGAGCCCAAAGGCTGGGGCCAAGGTGAGGAGCTGGAGAAAGCCCCTGAGGAGCTGGAGGGGCTGAGCCACTTCTCCCTTGTGATATTTTGGGGAGTATGTGGTTCTTTGCCACAGAGGCATCCCTGAAGAGGAGCTGGGGGGTCTGGAGCTGTGTGGGTATTGTGGCTCTCATGCCTGGAGGAGCGTGGGATGCCCCTGCCCTGTTGGGGAGGTCCCTGTGGGGCAGTCAGGAATGGGCAGTGCCAGGTGGAGGAAGTCTTGGATGGTTCCCGTGGTCTCCCCCATCTCTGCCTTTACCATCATCCAGTGCTGCAGCCACTTACTTCACGTAGGTGAGGCCGTGGTTGCCCTTCAGGGCAGTGGCGATGCAAATGGCTCCGTCCATGCCCAGGGAGTTTTCCTGCAGGCTGAGGAAGGCAAGAGGGTCAGAAAGCACCAACCAGGGAGAAGTGGCCACCAGGAGGGAATGTGTGGCTTGGACATTGTGAAAAGCCACCCTCTCAGGGGTTTGCCCCGCTGAGAACCATTGGCCTGGCCATTCCCTCCAGGAAGGTCTGGAAAGGCTCTTCCTGGCTCACCCCAGGGAGAGGGATACTCACTTGAGGCGGCGGAGGCTGCTGTTCACCCTGAGGGCGTTGGCCATGGCCTTGGCCCCTGCCACGCCGATGGAGTTCCCCCGCAAGCTGAGAAGAAAGGCAGGAGGTGAGGAAGGACAGCCTGGGATGACCCCAGGTGGGAGTAGGTGGGAGAGGTGGTCCCACACCAGCGAGCCAAGGGACGAGCAAGACAAGTCTGGACACGATGCAAGGGTGGAAGTGGTGCTGAGGTAAGGACCAGGATCTCGGACACCTCGGGGATCCGTGTCACAGCCGTGGGGACTGATGGCCCCACTGAGCACTTACTCCAGGATCTGCAGGCTCTTGTTGACCATCAAAGCTTCTGCCAGGGCTTGGGCACCAGCCGTCCCAACCGAAGCCATTTGCAGGCTGCAAGGGAACAGGGACCCTTCAGCACATGTTGTGAGGTGGCCGTGGTGTGCTAATTACACAAGCTAATTAGGCTGCAACTCCAGGGCCCCGCCGCAGCCTGGATACTCACTGGAGATCTGCCAGGGTCGTGTTGACCTTCAGTGCATCAGAGAGGGCGGCCATTCCCTCGTCTCCAATGGCATTTTCCTGCAAGCTGAGACACCCGAGTGCTGCCTCTGCCCGTGGCCTCTGCACCCAGGAGCAGGGAGAGGGACAGCGAGCACAGGGCACAGTGTGCCCAGCATTCCCAAATGCCTTGGGGGACCCCAGGCCACCAGGCACTCGGAGCAGCCCCAGACAGGCACATGCAGTGGTGGCACCGCAGCCTTCCACTACCTAAAGGGGCTCCAAGAGACTTTTGACAAGGACATGGAGTGCCAGGACAAGGGGGAACAGCTTCCCACATCCAAAGGGCAGGGTTAGATGGGATATTAGGAAGAAATTCTTCCCTGTGAGGGTGGTGAGGCCCTGCACAGGTTGCCCAGAGAAGCTGTGGCTGCCCCATCCCTGGAAGTGTCCAAGGTCAGGTTGGACAGGGCTTGGAGCCCGATCTAGTAGAAGGTGTCCCTGCCCATGTCAGGAGGGTGGAAC